TGGGGTCACCAGATTTCACTCGATAAGTCCAAATGCATGTTCCTCCCAAGCTCATCCGATTCAGCATCACGTCTAATTCTTCCGATTTGGATATCGTAACTTACATTATTTCCTGGAAGATTAAAATCTTGCCCAGCTAAATTACAACTTATAACGTCGATTTGAATGGTGGTTAGATTGGACAAGAATTGAATCTCATTGGAGCGTTGTTTCTTTCTTTTCCATTATCATCCTCCACCGCCCATTCGTCAAAGCTTTTCACGATGTTCAACTCCTCCAATTCGACGAGCCCTGAGATCACCCCCCGATTTTATTCTCTTTAGCTTACTACATGATGTAAATTCTAGCTGTTTCAGGCATCTTAGTCCCCACTCCTCAATAGAGGGACACAATTGGCAACCGAGAATTTCGAGATTTGATAATTCCCCAACAATAGAGATGGTCTTCAAAGACTTGCAATCAGAAAGAACCAATATCCGGAGATATTTCAGCATCTGTATGCTTTGTAGTAGTGAGCTCAATGAAGTATAACTAGTTGACACCACATTTAACCTGCTCATCCCTTCAAAGAAACTCTCATCCATCTCAATTTTTTTCTCTCCTACTTCTATTGACAAAACGAGACGAAGTTCTGGAAATTCCTCGTTGTTAGCGAAGAGAGTTCCAATCTCCTAGACTTGAATTCATAGAAATACATCAACATCAAAAGCTTATTTTCTCCTTCAATAGCTGCAAACCTTATCAAGCTACTACACTTGGACATTCAGTATTTGCTCGAAGATTATAAACGTGATTGAAGGCAATGACAAAGTATTGGAAACTTGTCTATTTCCTAAACTGAGAATGATGACTCTAGAGAATTTGTGTGTTCTGGTTTTGTATTATAAGATAATTTTATAGTGTGTTCTGGTTTTGTATTATTGTGTGTTCCGAATCCGAATTAACTTAGGAGAGTCGGTACTTAGCCTTTACCAATATAATAAAGGTCTAGGGTTTGAGTCCCCCCTACTTCCCCTTGTAATAGACTTGAATTTACTCAAAAAAAAAATTAAATTAACTATTAATTTTCCGACAAATATATAATCAAATCTATCATCTTTCTTTTTCCTTCGTTCTTCGAGTTTTTCTTCGAAAAATCATAAATAATCAAAATTGCTTATTTGAATATTTGTCTAGCTTTCTTCCATCTTTCCACCTCTAAATTTTTCAAACAATTCTGTTTCTTTTCAAATAATCAGTTTCTATGAGTCCTTGTTACACAGTTTCTTACTTTGTTGTCTTACTCTTACATAGCGTGGAGTTAATTAAATTCTTACAAGTCGTATAACACATGTTACTTGGACGTTGATGAATGAATTAATTCTTGTCTAATTATATGAATCGTCCTCATTTGGGTATTGTTAATTAATTAACATTTTTTTCAAAAAAAAAAAGAATTAATTAACAATTCTTATTGGTAGCAAATATTCTCTTACAAAGTACAGCAACAGGCTTCCTTCCACCAAATAATTCCTATGCAAATCCAACCATTAACTTGCCCCAATTAAAAAAAAAAAAGAAAAAAAAAACTATAGATAAATTTTCACAAGAGAAATGAACATCTAACTGAAAAACAGAAATAGTTTGTATTTAGTGCTCTGCATTATATCGAATTTGCTGAAAAACTCATTGTGTTATAAATATTAACAAAAAAACCCCTATATGGTGAGTTTTAGGGGTAGTCTGCTAAAAAATTGCACAATAGGGGAGTTTGTGCTAATAATTATAATATGAGGAGCTTTGTCACAGTTAAAGTAAATGCAGGGGTGGGATATGCATTATACCAAAAACGGAAATAGTAATAACATAATCTGTAATCAGAGAAAATCGAAAACAAAGCCACAAAATCTGGATTGAGAAGAAAAAACAAAGATCAAGCAAAAGAACAACAATACCTTAATCTACAAAAACAAAAACAAAAAAATACAAACAAACAAACAGACACAGGAATAAAATCAGAGAAAGGGGAAGAGAACAATCTGATTAAATAGAAGAAGAACCTTTCGTTGGCACTTCCAAAAATATATCCCATAAATGATAAAGAGAAGTGAAATGTATCAAGGATATCACTCCATCCTAGCTTATTTCCTTATTTACATGATTAGCTAATTCCCTTATTTACGCGATTCCGTTATAATATTTTCCTCCAGATTTGACGTGATTAGAATAGCTCAATTAAGGCTTGATTGAGTCAATCCTCTTGTATAAATTCATTCTTCGTACATCAATCAAAGTATACAGCAGAAGCTTGTGAAACTCTATTATGGCATCAGAGCCACCAGCCTCACGGCAACTCTGATCCACCAATTCATTTTTTTTTTTTCATCTTTTTTTTGTTTTGCAACTATGGCTGGGGATAACCAAAATTCCACCCCCACCACCACTCCACCCACCACACCCGCATCCCTCCCACCACAAACTATCGATACTTCAACCAACAATCATCTCATCTCCATCAATGCCGCAGCCCAAACTCCCATTAAACTTACACCCACAAACTACCAGTCATGGCACACCCAATGGTATTCACTTCTATGTGGTTACAAATTTTTTAAATTCGTTGAAACCGAAACCACCATTGATCCATCCCATAATGAATATTGGTTTTGTCAAGATCAATTACTCCGCAGCGCTTTGATTGGTTCCTTATCAGCCGAACTCATTCCATTCGTTGTTGATGCCAAGACTTCCTACGATGTATGGCACACCCTTGCCGATACTTATGCTAAACCATCTCGAAGCCGTATTATGAGTCTTCGAGAATCATTAAGCAGCATGAAGAAAGGATCTATGTCAATTACCGAGTTCCTTCAAAAGATCAAGCAGACATCCGGGCAACTAGCCGGCGCCGGTGTTCATATCTCCATGGACGAAATCGTGTTACATGTTCTCCATGGTTTCCCGTCTGAATATAAAGAAATTGCTGCTGCATTTCGAGCCCGTGAATCCAGCATTAGCTTTCAAGAACTTCATGAAAAACTCACAGATTTTGAGTCGTATCTCTCCCGCGAGACCCCAAACACCTCTTCTATTGTTGCAAACTATGCTGCCAAACCATCTACCTCCTCTCGCTATCGTGGACACAGATCGTCTCATAGTTCCTTTGTTTCTGGAAAGCATCAAGGACCACCATATCCGTCACCTCGGCCTTCTTTCAACCAAGGGTATCAAAGCAACCGTCCACGAGTAACTTGTCAGATCTGTGAGAAGCCTGGTCATGTTGCTCGACAATGCCGCAAACTTCTTGCTCTATCTCCGTGGCTTTCGGAACCATCACATAACAGCAACCATGGAACCAAGCCAAAACCCCAAGCCAACTACACCTCTCGATCTGCCAACAATGACACTACATGGCTTTTGGACTCCGGTGCATCCCACCATGTTACGCAAGATTTCCATAATTTATCTCTTCACTCTGAATATGATGGTAGTGACGAAATCATGCTAGGGGATGGTAAAAATCATCAAATCTCGTATACGGGTTCTCTCTCATTACCTTGTTTATCTCGCCCTCTTCACCTTTCTAATGTTCTTTGTGTACCAAAAATGCAAAAGAATCTTATATTTGTGTATCAATTATGTTCTACTAATAATGTTACAGTCGAGTTCTCACCATTTTCGTTTGTTGTGAAGGATTATCGAACGGGGGCACATCTACTGGCAGGGAAGCCTAGAGACGGCGTATATCCATGGCCTACCCATTTTCCTAACACTACACCAGCAACACCTATACAACCACAAGCCCACACAATAGCCACTACTACTGCTCCACAATGGCACCGGCGGCTAGGCCATCCTCCTACTCGAACTCTTCGCCAAATTCTCCAAATTATGCATATCCCGTCCCCCACCATAGACAAACACTTCTTTTGTAATTCCTGCAAGTGCAATAAAATGCACAAATCTCCATTTTATCAATCTACAATAAAAAGTTCTTCTCCATTAGAACTGATTTATCCCGATGTTTGGGGTCCGGCACCTATCACATCTATAAACGATTTTCGGTATTATCTAATCTTTGTTGATCATTTCACAAAATATGTTTGGTTTTTTCCAATCAAACGAAAATCTGAAGTCTCCACTATTTTTCCTAAGTTCAAAACTATTGTCGAGAACTATTTTCAAAAGAAAATTATCTCCTTTTACTCTGATAATGGTGGAGAATTTATACATTTGCGTTCCTTTTTTGAAGAAAATGGAATCTCTCACTTCCTTACACCACCTCATACACCTGAACCCAATGCTACTGTCGAACGCCGCCATCGCCATATTGTGGAGACAGGCCTCACCTTACTTCATCAAGCGAACTTACCATTACCATTTTGGTCATTTGCTTTCCAGGCTGCAACTTATTTAATTAACCGCATGACCACACCAATTCTTAATAATAATTCACCATTTTTAACCCTTTTTGGCCGACATCCAAATTACTCAAAGCTTCGAGTTTTTGGATGTCTGTGCTATCCATGGCTTCGACCTTATAACCAAAATAAGTTGCAACCAAGGTCTGCACCTTGCATTTTTCTCGGTTACGCTGAAAATCAAAGTGGTTATAAGTGCTTTGACCCTGTGAAATCCCGTTTATATATTTCTCGTCATGTCGACTTTGTCGAAACTTCCTTCCCATACACTAGTACAGAAACACCCATAACTCGGCCTACTGAACTCCCAATTGCTGCTTGGGCTCCGTCTCATTTTGTTATCCCAAACCACCAATTATCCACCACTTCATTCTCTCCACCGCCGGCTCAAGCCTCCCCTATGGTTGATGATGTCGTCAACGATGTTCCTTCATCAAGCGAAAGCATGGACTCCTCCTGTAACATTTCAACATTTCAGGT